TTTCCAAATTGCAGAACACAATTTTGATCAGCTGCAATATTACAGAACATAGAAAATAGTATTTCTACCACTTATGTACATTCTCTGTTGTCCTTTCCTTTCAGTTGGAGTGTCTGCGACAGTTGATAATGTCAGGTGTGAATAAGGACGTGACAACACAGAGGTTCTGTCAGACACCAGCTCACATCGCTGCCTTCGGGGGTCATCCTCACTGTCTGCTCTGGCTCCTGCAGGCTGGGGCCAACATCAATGCCCAGGTACATTTTGTAGTCAAATCCCAACAGATTTTATTTTGTTGTGGTAACGAGAGCTACCAGTGGTGGTGAACACTTCCTGTAATCAGGAAAAGGACAGTTTACCTAACGTTTATCGGCTGTTTCAACGCTTAGAAACTCGCTGTAGAGATGGACCCCAAAATGGCGGACATGAGGTGATGACGTGTGGTGATTAAGCTCTCTCTATATACATTGTAACTTGCAGGAAGACACTTTTCTTTTCAATGTCAATGTTAGAAAACCAATTGTCCACCATTAATTGTCCACCATTTCATCACTCAGGTGTCACCATGGAGCTAAAAAAGGTTGATTCAGCTTGAAAAATTAAATTTATTTTTGTCCCTTGCACCAAAAAAGGCTAGGGTCGGCAGTTTTGTCTAGGGTCGGTTGGGAAACAGGAAACACATTTTTTTCCTAGGCCTAACTTGTTGAAGTTGGTTTAGGCCCCGTTTATGATTCAAAATGTGTTTCGGTATGGCCACGTTCCGAATTGATACGGAATATATTTTAATGGAATATATTTTACATCCGTGATTCAAAACTTACACTCATACTGGAAACAATGTCACACCTCGAATAGACTTGCATTTTATATGTATAACACAATTTCTTTGAACACTTCCTGGGAACCAGACTCATAAGGCGGAGAGTTTAGGTGTGTTCGCCCGTTTCCGACTCACGCCCTCCCCATAGGTTGTGCCCCCGACGCAACTGGTTCAAGCCCCCACAGTCTTGGAGTGGCACTGGGCGGCTGTCCTATTGAAGCTGCATTCCACCGTGGCCTTAGCAAATTATGATTTTCTTCAAAACTTCTTGGTTGCGATGCACGCCATCCAGTTTCCTCTGAATCTCCCCAGTTCCCCAAATCTTAATCATTACAAAATACTGCCCACTGGAATGTCTCCTTTGTATAATATTTGGCATGCCAATATGATGATGTTACTAGTCACATCAATATACCATCACTCACCTGGATTATTGGTCTGATACACTTTAGGATTACTTGGGTGAAATGCCTATTCACAAAGCAGCAAGAACTGGAAGTACAGAGTGCACTGGTCTACTACTGGCACATGGTGCAAAACCAAGGTAAGTAAAACAGACTAAAGACAACTATAACAAGTATAACTTACAAGCGATTTGTAGAAAAAAATGATCTGAAGAATAATATTACATTACAACAGTGGTTTATTCTCACCTCTCAAATAAACGTACCCACTGGGAAAATTTAGAAATTGTAACAACGTCTATGTAACAACGTCTATGCTCTAAAAATGTGTTCTCACAATGTATGTGTGCATCTATATGACCCTGTCACTTGCATTTATTTAAAAACATAAAAAAAAAAATAAAAAAAACATATACCGGGTATCCCCCTTGAATATGATACTGTAAGTCCATTTTTGATTACGAAATCTTTAAGTTCACGGTTTTCACGAAGACGCTCTTCTCGTGAACTCACCTCCTCGCGAACCCATTCCGTACGTACCACCCCCCTCCCCCAAACATCGTGCGTCTCAACTCTATACTAACAACTTCTACATTACGTAGTACTAGTAAGTAAATGACAAGACTCAACGAATAACAGCAGACTTCTTTTCAGAATCAAATAAACTTTATTCAATGAGCATATGGTTCACGGAGTCATTATTTTGTTACTAGTAATACAAGTGTTTCTTGCGAAGAACGGTAAAAGTTTACAAAGCCGACTAGACAACATCAGTTTTAACAAGAACGCTAGTTCGGCGATAACGTAGCGGTGAACAGCTGTAAACATGTGCAACATCGTACATACGGAATTTTACAACATACATCGGTAAAAAGTTGTTGTCGTGTACAAGCCACGTAAAGCAGAATTATTTACGGTACGGATACGGAAAATCAGAAAAAAATAGAACCAAGCGGGATAGCGTGGGTCTTTGTCTATACCTCGAGAGATCAAACTACACAAGTTCAACGTTACTCACCAAAGCCACACGCAAAAAAAAAATCATTTCACAAGATTTCCATACATCCCAAGAAAATTTACGCTACATATACAACATTAACAGGTATTTATCAGGGAAGAATTGCACGAAAATCTACCGCCGAGTAACCGCCGAGCCGATCGGCAAATCACAAGAAATCCAACATGGCGGCCTTTGTTTACATAGCGCGTTGTCTAATGGTCTAAGTTTGCTTTATTTTTTTTAATTTTTTTTTTACAACTTGTTGAATCAACATGGTTTTAAACGTTCCCAAACAGCAAATTTATAGAACAGTGCGCTAAAATTTCACAACTAAAGATGATTTACGCGAGGACTACTGTGCAGAAGTTGGCAACATTTGCGAGTCGAAAGTTCAAACATGGCGGCTTTTGTTTTTACTCACGCGCCCGTCGGCTCACAGCGGCTCAGATCCCTGTGCGGTTCCATCCCCTGGCGATGTCCACGTTGTTGGCGATACTGTCCAGTGCACCCAGGACCCAGATCGCATGGATGGGCTTCAGTTTGGACAGTGTCATGTCCACGGAACCATGTTCTAACCGCGCATACCTCGCACGTACCTCACGCGAAAAAAAATTATTGACTGTCGGTAAATTTGCAGACATGTAACGCCTTGTTAAAAATTACCGTCTCGCGAAGTCAGAGACCTCGTGAACTCCCAAATTGCTCCATCTCGTGAAATAAAGCATTCGTGAACATAACTGGACTTACAGTACTCCTGACAAATCTTCAAAATCTAAGAAATATACCACCCCCCCCACTCCCCAGAATACAGGTGCCACCATAAAGTTACTAGTAGTAGTTTATATCCACAGCAGTGTAGTAAATGCTGGATACTATAATTATAGTTCCAATATAATACTACTTTTGGTTGTGTACCTACATTGTATCATCTTTGGGGGGTGCAAGTAATTTTTTTTTCATCTGCACCAGTGCAAGTTGACCCCAAAATCTATTTTGACCCCTGATATATATGACTATACTATATCATCTAACAGGTCTGTGTTCACACAATTTGTTGTTGATCAGTGCATTGCATACTGTATCATACATGAGCAGATGCTACAGATTTACAAAACTAGTAATATATAATGTAAAAAAGACATTAATGGTTTGAGAAGGTTGTAGTATGGAGGCTTGTGTATTTTCAAATTGCAGAACAAAATTTTGACTCTTTCCATCACCAAATTTGGTCTGACAAAACATAGGCAGTACTAAGATGTTTGTTATCATCTACCCAGCAACACAAACCTGACAAAGGTTGTCATAGTTGGCAGTAAACTTAGCACAATATAGGTATCATTTCTTGTTTAACAAGATTTATGATGTCAAATTTTAAAATGTAGGATACTAGGAATCTTGTTTTTTTTGGCCCTCCTTTTTTTTTTGCCCTCTATCACATTTAATTTAGATTTGCGGAGTCTGCAGAGGATGTCATCCATAAAATTTGCTTGCTGTGGCCTAATAAATACTGGTGATCCTATTTCTCATCTTGTCAGTGTATGTAACAACAACGGCATGAGCCCAGCTGACTTGGCGAGGAATCAGGGGTTCCAGGAGTGTGCACAGGTCCTGCTGCAGACCCAGGACCAACACACCAGCTGTCAGCACAACAACACCAACGGTCTCACTCTCAACAGGCTCAGCAGGAAACGTGGGCTGGACCCCGAATCTCATGTGGAAGGAAGCAAGCGAACCAGGAATGATGGTAAGTTTTTTGTCCTGCCATCAAAATTGTTGAAACTGTGGATCAATAAATGCTGAATGATGCTAAAATCTAACAGTATACAGGGCTTGAAATACTAGGTGCATTTGCACCTTAGTGCACTCAATTTTTAAAGATTTTTGTAGGTATTTTTGTACATTTATCCTGTATATCTTTTTAAAATTTTTGTAGGTATTTTTGTACATATTAAAATATCTA